CTCTGTTTAATCTCATTAAGGCAAAAGAAACACTTGCAACATATGCCCATCTCTAATGAGCGTGGTGTGCATAGTCAAAAGAATTAACGAACAGCGAACGATTAACGTGGCACTCTGTGGATGCTCTGGGTGGTGATTCTGCGCATGTTTCAGCAAATCCCATCCGCTTAGTGGATTCGATGAAACGACTTTCAACATTTGGACGCTCGTTATCGTGGTGGAGAAAGATATAAACCTTCTAGTGCGATCGTTTCGTTTAAATTACAGCTTGAACTTCTTTTCGCACTTGCTTTAGGCGCGTTACCTGGCACACAGATTCTTTTCTTTTTGGATAAGGAGCAAGTTTGTTGCAGCAGATGAATAAAATATCGGACTCGTTTTTGCTGGAAAGTCGTGGGCGATCCATCTAGTCAACTCCATACCTTTTCAAGCTTTCTGAGGTGACGGACGATCTTCACTGGATCGTAATAATGGCTCAATCAACTCTCCTGCTGACAGGTTTTTGGCCTATTCCACGGCCGCCAGAAGTACCTAATCGTCGAGATCCAATAGTTGTCCTCTTGCTTCTTCATCTGTAAGATTTGTATCGTCGCATTGAACTTCTTGAACCATCTCTCAACTTGGCTTTTTAATGTTCCCTAGTTGATTCGTTGAGATCGCGAAATGGCATTTAACCTTTTCTTAATCTTTTGAATCCATAGAGCATGCTATGGCAAAGGAAATAATTTTCGTTTCTAGTTGAAACAGAGAATAATTTTTTGTGCAAAGCTAATAAGCAATATGCTAGTTATTCAATAAGTTTTCAAAAAAGCAGCAATAATTGTGGACAACCATATCAAGTACTTTCAGTTGTAGGTCCCAAAAATTCATGTTATTATCCTTAAATTCCTTTGCATTTCATTAATTTCAATTCCAGATGCTTCTCCTCAAAACTTTAATTCCCGGAAGCGAAATTGAATATAACGTATGCGAGGAGTACTTAGTAAACGCAACAAGCTATAACACCTACATGGCTGTAGTTTACTGTGTAAGGCAGGCGCTTGGTGCAACAAGGATGTGGCCTGGAAAAATACGTATCTATCGCAGATTTGAAGCCTTTGCACGTGATGGCTCAGTTACTAAGCAAAGGTACTGAAATCCTATCAGTTATGTAGCGATTTCTCGTAAGGCAAAAGCACAAAATTTATTGTGATTCTAGATGGAGCGATACAGATTTTATGATACATGGATGGAAACACGCGAATTTGAATGGAACTGCTTTTGAAGAAAATCTTGAACTGAGCCTTTGTGATCAAGGGCTGCGCGCCTGGGAATTGGCATGGAGAAAAGACCTGAAAATAGAAGTCCACGAACTGCGGTATGAAATATGAAATTTCCTTATAATTCATCACTAGCTGGCATTATTGGCTGATCGTGTCAGCCTTGAAGTATAGAGGTATTCTTACCAATCTATCTTTCATGCTTGAATGTTTATTTTCAATTTTCACCTTTACTTGCAAAACATCAAAGCTTGTCTACCGCATTGCGAGTTCGTGTGCGCAAGAAGATGGGCATACAACAACAATGTAATGCTTTAGTTTACTCCAAATGCAACGAATAATTTCGAGAATTCCACACTGCATGCACGGTGGAGAGATAAATCCTTTCGCTTCTAGACTAACAGTTGGGAGCCATAATACATGTGCTCT